TTGGCAATGAAATGGTGGTCAAAGGTCAAACTGTGCCACAAGTAATTAAAAAGTAGTCTATGAGCAAACAGTAATTTATATATTTTTTCTGTGGTATAATCAGAACCCAAACTCTTATTTCTTAGGTTAATAATAGAGTGATGGCTCTGTCCAAGGCTGTCTATGAGAAAATGTTCTTGTGGATGGTTGTCAGACTCAATGACATTCTGGATACAAAGCAGCCAAGATTTTTTTCATATCTGTCCTGGACATCACTGGGTTTGAAATCTTTGATGTAAGTATGCAGAACTAACACTGCATAGTCTTACGTTCATGTTCATGTAAAGTAAGTAAAGTACAAACGTCATTTCTTCATACTTTACACAACAGCAACACACAATCTTTGACACTTTTCCCCCTTTTCAGTTCAACAGCCTGGAACAGCTGTGCATCAAATTCACTAATGAAAAACTGCAACAGTTTTTCAACCATCACATGTTTGTCCTGGAGCAAGAAGAGTACAAGAAAGAGGGCATTGAATGGGAGTGCACTGACTTTGGTATGGACTTGGCTGCCTGCATTGAGCTTATTGAGAAGGTGAGCCGTGTGCTGTCCATTTGCATAGAAAACAGTAGAAAACAAATTTAAGTTGTTTTGTTTTTTTACTGCTTCTTTCATCACGGCAGCCGATGGGTATCTTCTCCATCCTTGAAGAGGATGCATGTTGGGGTGCATGTTCTCCAAGGCAACAGACATGACCGTCAAGAGCAAACTCTATGACCAGCATGCTGGCAAAAGTTCCCCCTTCCAGAAACCAAAGCCTGCCAAAGGCAAAGCTGAGGCCCACTTCTCCCTGGTGCACTATGCTGGTAATGTTGAATACAATGTCATTGGCTGGCTGGAGAAGAACAAAGACCCTCTGAACGACTCTGTGGTACAGCAGACGTCTTTCACAAAGCTGCTGGCCTTGCTGTTTGCACCTCATGTGTAGACAGAAGGTAGTGTTTTTTTATATAAACTCATGTATCTACAAAATTTAAGGTATGCGGAAAGACTATTGCATTTATTGCTTCGCATTATTTACAAATCAGTTTGCAAAATGCGCTTTACAGGTCCAAAAGGTGGAAAAAAGGCTGCCCACATAGCAGACAGGTCTGGCCTGGATCTGGTGTCAAGCCGGCACTGCTGGCTGACTTCTGGCATGGTACGTGGTATGTCATCCAGATATGGGCCAGGCCTGGCATAGATGACACTGTTTATGTGATGGCATGCCACATCTGGCCCGATTGTGGTTTGGTTTATGTGGCCCAGGCTCACAGACAACAGGTCTGGCCTGGATCCAGCATCAAGCTGGCACTTCTGACTGACTGGTGTGTTGGCAGGGTGTATGTCAACCAGATGTGGGCCAGGTCTGGCAATGATGACACTATTTATGTTCCTATTTTCCTATTTTAGGTAGAAGACCCAACTGCCATGTTGCAATACTATACTGCCATGGTAGTGGTTTGATCCCTCCAGTCAGCATGTCAAGAGTGTGAATGTGTATGAATGTAGTTAGGAAGCACTCAGTTCAGAGAAGATGTGTGAATGTGGCATGTCGTATAGAACACTTTAGGTAATCCGGGAGAGTAGAAAAGTGCTATTTAAGAATCACTGTCTGAACAGAGTTTCGTCATGTTACTTTTGCACTATTATGTTCCGGCACATGTTGTTATTACATGGCTTGATTAAGGTACACATTAGGCTGACATCTGGGGCCAGAGCTGAAACTGTTCTGGGCCAGCACAGGACCACCAGTGTGTCTGCAACTGCCTTGTGGTGGCCCATGTGTGGGCCACCTCTGGCAAACCAGATCTGGGCCACCAAAGGGCCGTCATTCTTTGCGGTATGTGGGCCATGTGTAAGCACGTTGTGTGGGCCAGATCTGGGCCACACCAATTTTGCTATGTGGGTGGTGGCAAGAAGAAGGGCAGTTCCTTCCAGACAGTGTCGGCTCTTTTCAGGGTAATATTCATTTTCTTAAATACTTAAATGATGAACTTTAATGAGCATGCACCCACATTTTGTGTGCTGCTTGATTCCCAATGAAACTAAAACACCAGGTAGGTCCCTGGTTTAATATCACTGCAGGTGGAGACTTTGATTAATGTACAGAAAGTACTTCTGCTCTGAATAATTCAGGGAAAATTTAATTTTTCATTAGTCTGTGAAAGCTAAGTATTTTGGTGTGATTGCCATAAAAAGTCGCTATTTCCTAGTTACATAGTTCAGTCCAGCAGGCTCTTAATGCTGGAACAATCACAAAATCCAACTTTTTTTCTTTTCAAAGTATCAAAATAGATCATATTTGATATAATAATGGAAACATTTTAAATAAGTTTTTGCTTAACCTTGATTGTCAAGCTCTTTATGTTTGTGCAGCTTCCCCGCTTGAAAGGGATTGATGCATCTACCACAGGTGTTTAACTGGATTTCACTCAATGACCAGGCAGATCTTTTGTTTCCCTTTTTTCTTCTTTTCGGCCATAGTCAGCCACAGGTGAAAAACCTTTAAATACAAACCAAAAAACCAAAATACAAATTACGTTTGTTTTCACACATCTGCGAACATTAACCAATCCAAACCTTTTTTAACAGTAGCAGTGCATAAGCTTTGTAGCACAATATTTACTTGAGTATTTTTAAATGCTCAAATTATGTAATTCAAATTATGTAATTATGTGATTGAACACAAGATTAAAAGATCTTGCTTTTTTAAAAGTGCTAAATCAAATGGCTAATCTGCATTAGAACTTAAACAGTAAACAATAGCATTTATGACCAGTTTTTCTTGCATTTAACCATATGCAAGCATTAACAGTGTACCATATGCAGACCAACAACAAACAATGGTGTCGCTCATAAACATTAGTTCCAGCCTGTCACTTTTACTTTTTTGTCTCAGGGCTCTCCACCTCCTAAACTCAGTTTGACTTTACATTGACTGAACCCAAAAATGTAATGAAAAATGTTGACAATGTCATGGGTAATGTACAACAGCTGACTGTAACTCCTTCAGTTTTATGGTAGATAAAAGCATCTTGTTAGGCTACCACATGGTAAATGCAGGATTTGTCAGAGCTTCTGCATTATTCAGACTTATTCTTAGTCACATAGTTTAAGGTCTTTAATAGACAACAAAGCTGTGTGTCAGAGTGCCGGAGGCCTCTAGGGACATGTTATTGAACAGGAAGATGCTGAACTTAATGTTCTCGCAAAATGTATTTTTTGAGTTAAGAAACGATTGCAGTGCAGTTTTCTTTTTTTAGAATCTGGGAGACAGCAGTAACCTTTTTCTATTCAGTTTGAGCAATGAAAGAAAAATGTCCTGTACTCTGTCTCCACAGAGAATCCATTTACACCATCCAGTACAACATCCGTGCATTCATGAATGTCAAAACCTGGCCTTGGATGAAGCTATACTTCAGAATAAGGCCACTTCTCGGGAGTGCAGAGGCAGAGATGGCACGACGAAAGTGAACTTTGAAAAGACCAAGGAGGACCCAGCAAAGGCTCTGGCTAAGAGGAAAAAACTGGAGGAAAAGATGGTTACTCTCGTACAGGAGAAGAATGACTTGCAGATCCAAATTCAGAGTGTATGTTAAAGAGAACTGGAACCTCCATTTGTCTGTAACTTGATTATTTACAGCTGACTGTATCATTTCCTTTTTGCATTTACAGAAGGGTGAAACCCTCGCTGATGCAGAGGAAAGGTGTGAGGGGCTCATTAAAGGAAAGATCCAACTCAGGGTCAAACTTAAAGAGACAGCCAAAAGACTGGAGGATGAGGAGGAAATGAATGCTGAGCTGACTGACAAGAAGAGGAAGTTGGAGGACGAGTGCTCTGTGCTGAAGAAGGATATTGATGACTTGGAGCTGACCCTGGCCAAAGTGGAAAAGGAGAAACATGCCACCAAGAACAAGGTTTGTGCCTCGTTTCAGTTGTTTAGTGGGAACTGCATGCTGTAATGATTTTATTCACTTAACATTTTAGGTTAAAAGTCTGCTCAAGATGTGTCCATTGCCAAGCTGAGCAAAAAAAAGGAAGCCCTCCAAAAGGCCCAACAGCAGGTCCTCGATGACCTGCAGGCAGAGGAAGACAAAGTTAACAGCCTGACGAAGGTCAAGACCAAGCTGGAACAGCAAGTGGATGATGTGAGTTTCTAAATTTGTTTGAATTATCACAAGTGCAGCACTAAGTTTTTATATATTGAAGCTGGCACTAATTACTGTGTGCGTGAATGCACAAGATTGAAGGTACACTGGAGCAAGAAAGGAAGCTCCGTATGGATCTTGAGCGAGCTAAAAGAAACCTCGAGGGAAATCTGAAACTGGCCCACAAAACCATCATGGATCTTCCACTAAAGGTGGCAAGAAGCATCTCCAGAGACTAGAGGTGAGAGTTTGTTTGCTGCAGAAAAAAAAGTGTTTTGTTGTTGGTTTCAGTAACGTGAGATCATTTAAGGAACTACTTTGATAAAAGTTGTAGAAGTGGTACCCCAAACAAACTTAAAACTAAAGGTGGGCTCTGTTTATTTCACTGAACTGTTTTGTGTAGGAAAAAAGTTCATAAAATGTTATATCACTTTTTTTTAACCATAAAAAACATCTGGGCTTGTGGCTGGAAAGGTTCGGGGTCTGGAGGCGGAGGTTTAGGTGGAGCAGAAACGTGGATCTGTGGCTGTGAAGGGTGTCAAGTATGAACCTAAAGTGAAGGAGCTGACTTATCAGGTAGGATGCAACAAAACAGAAATGCTTTTTCTGGCATAAAATCCCAAAATTTTAATTAAATAAGGAAGCGATGAGTAATCATCACGTATAGTTTTATAATTTGTGCTGCCAAGAAAAAGCTGGGTGTAGAATATGCATTACACCCCTAGAGGGCAATAATCTCCATTATATGAAGAGTCTGTGGCTCCAACAGTAGTTGACGAACTGATGTGATAAAGAGTACACCACCGCTGAAACTAAACTCTCTGGTTGCAACTATAAATACACACAGTTATGTGTTTATATCTATGCTAATTGTGTGAAATTGCTAGAGCTGTTCAACAGATTTTCACTCTGAAAAACTGAGGAGATCAGGAGCTCCTGCATATGCAGTTGCATGTGCAGATGGGTTGATAGAGATGTCGGTGATTGCGCTGCGCTGAAACATCCCCTTCACATAGTCTGCAGTATGTTGTAAGTGAGTGTTTGGTGCATATTTGTTTGTTGTTGTCCCTCGTGTGCGTCTGAAGTGGATTCACTGTGGAAGATGAGCGTGTTGTGTGCTCTGAAGTTGTTTTGAAGACGTTCATGAATCAGATAGAGAAGTAGGTCTCTGTAGTGGTAGTTTCAGACAGACTCTGCTGTCTTTAGGCTGAGTAGGACAAGAAGACCGGACTTCAAGGTCTTGAAGCTGCAGCTGTCTGTCTGAGAAAGCTGTGAGTGTGAAATATTCAACACATGCAAAGCAGATAGTCATGACAAAGTAACACCTTTACTTCTGACCCTGTTGACAGCAGTGTACTTAAAGCAGGAAGCAGAATTATTTTACGATGGTTCACAGAAAGTTGACTGAAAGTTGTTCATCTGGAACGTTTCTCCCACTAAAAACTCCAGAAGCGTCCAGATAAACAGATTAAATTTCCTTACCTGGATTACTGAGCGTGCATCAAGAGATTTAATGAAAGTTATTTTTTACTGATGAGTGACGTCATTGCCTTAACTTCTACTTTTCAGAAGGAGCAAGCCAACACTGACATGGCCAGGAACAGGAAGGTTCAGCATGAGCTTGAGGAAGCTCAGGAGCGCGCTGACATCGCAGAGTTGCAGGTCAACAAGCTGAGAGCAAAGAGCCGTGAAATTGTCAGGGTAAAATAATTTTGTTAATTCTGTTTTATCGTCAAGAGCAAGGTACTCTGCAAAGGTGGTGCATCTCTTAACAGAACCATTTGACATTAATTTGTTGCTCTCTCTTTTGTGTTGAAGGTCAAGGAGACATGAATGAACCGCAGTCTGGATGAAATCACACAATATGAGCTTTTTTGTCTGATGTACCAACTACGTGACAAGAAATGAACACACAAGCAGTTGAATATCTTTATATGTCGTATGCTTTAAATAATGCTTAACTCAAAAGAAGTAGACATGAAGCTAGTTATTCAGAGACATTACGGTCATCAAAGTTAAACAGTTATTTTTTTTAAATATTTGTAGGAGTGCTCGAGAGCTCCAAACGCATTTCTCAAAATGCGTCAGGATTTAAAGGTGTACTTACACTTGGTGCACCTCTGCACAAGTTAAACAATACATATAGAACCTAATAACAGTGAACTGAAATGCTCTTTTATGTGTGTGGTGGTCTAAATGTGGGCTGCACAGCTTCATCACTCGCAATAACCTGGTTGTCAACTGTCACCTGTTATCACATAGAAGTTCTTTAGGCTATGATAACTGTAAATCTGTTCCCTTTGGTGATAATGTTACTGACAGTGTAGTGACCTTACAGTTTTTCTATGTGCTCCAGCACATATGTTGCACCATGTCACGACGTTGTGTGATGAAAATAGACCCATCAGTGACCCACAACCTGCAGCAACACTCCTCCTCATGCTTAAACCCGAGCAGTGTCTTGGCATTCACCGTCACTACATCTCAAATTATTGCTTTTTATTTTAATAAAAAGAAAATCATGGAAAACCCAATAGAAACCTGAAGTATTCTGGAAAGCTAGCAAAGTACAGAAAAGCTAAAGTAATATTGTAATATTTTATTAAAGCAGAGTGAGGAAAAACAAGATATTTAATGTGGATGTTACTGCAGGTGTCTGATTTTAAATATCTTTGTTTTGACGTGAATCTCAGACATCCTCCTTTGGGAAGTGGTTTTATGAACATTGAATAGTGACTCCACTGGTAATGGGAAACGACCTGAGATTAATATTAGATAGGCTTAGATTGAACTGAAATCAGCCTGGAGTCATAAAGCTGAATAAAATAAGATAATCAGACTAAAACTAGTTGAGAAACTAGAAATGATAAGTTGAGCAAAACTAATTGATTATATTGTCTTTTTTTAATTAATAGTCCAATTAGTCTTCCTTTAAATGTGTTTATTTATCTGATATCACCTCATATCTCTTAGCTTCTTCTGCTAGAAGCTAATACATTTTCATTTCATATAAACACAACATGGACCCATAGATGCTGAAAACCTTTAAAAGCAACTATAGAAAAAATTACTTTTCTTTGCATTTTCTATTTAAATCTGGACTCACATTTTAATACCCTTTCAGTAAGCGCTCTTGCATCCTTCGGGAGGCTCAGGCCACCAAGGAGGCAGTTGTTTCATATCAAAGGTCGTTCCACAATAAGACTTGAAGCTGTAACAAATGACTGAGCTCTGAGAGCATTGCTGAGGAGACAGCTATATTTGTGTTTCTTCCAAATAAGCACACCCAGGAGCACAAGAGGTCGAGTATCACATTTCTATTGAATATTTAGGCCTATTTTGTCGAGTGTCAAGTCCTCAATATTTGGCTCCTAATGCCCTCTTCCCTTCTTTGCTTCTTCAGTGTCATCTTTCAACAAGGAAAGAATGCAAACTACTACACGTCGTATAACACGATCCTCCCCTTGTCGCATATGGGGAACAAATACTGGACTTAAGAGAAGGTCAAGCTACAAGCCTCTCCTTGTCTTTAGTTCATCTGTCAGGGCACGCAGCACAACAAGACCATTTTAAGAAAGGGTTTAAAAATAAATCCTTGCCCTCGAGACAACACAAGTGCTTGCCCTGAGAAACCTAGAGACACAAATCTAATCACCTGTTACCCGTGGATCAGACGATGGAAAGTTTATTGTCCTGAAGACAAATGCACCGTGACACGTTAGGAAGTACAATGTCAAGGTCTTCAAAGGCGTGTAGCGATGGCACGAGAGGAACTAGAAACGGTGATGTACTGCTGTCAAAGACGTTCCTTCGCTCAGACACAGACAGTTAACTTGTCAACAGCAGTGGCTCGGCCTTAAGACAAAGCTGTCTGCCTTTGAATGGTTGACTTTCAGCCGCAGGATAAAGCGAGATGAGAGGGTTGCATCCGAACCCCCGTTGACTCAGTACAGTGTCAAAAATCCAGCAATGCAATCTGATATGGAGAAAAACAGTCAGTGAAGTGAAGATGCTACACGAAATGGGGCTCTAAAATGAGAGTGTAAAATACAAATGATGGGCCAGGTGTGTGTGTGTGTGTGTGTGTGTGTGTGTGTGTGTGTGTGTCCTCAAACACACCGCAAACGATCCCGTGTAAACCTGTACATATATACCAGTTGGTCCCCTTGGTATATTGCATTCATGTCTGGTTCTACTGTGTTTTCCCTGTTTTTAAAATTAAAGCATACAAAAGAAGCAGTCAGGGCAGAGTGTGGGGCTTCTTAGCCTTTATTGATGAGGAAGACCTCAGCGTAGATTCAGTACCAGGCCGCTGCATTAGCCTTGTGGCCCGTGAGTTAACGAGCACCCCAACAAAAGCAGGCAGCAGACATATTTTCTATCTTTTTGATGTTGCTCCACTCATAACATGAGATTTCATGTCAGTCTCTAGAAAGCTCAAGCCCACTGACACATCTCTCATCAGATTATCATACCTAGAGTAATCATAGCTACACAAAATATTACATCTGAGCCTCTGCAAAACAAAATATTGGGCACTGGGTAGCTTCATGAGTGTGCTTTGACCCTTACGTATTGGTTAGAAATGTTGAAGTTACGCCTCAGAGTGTGTTAAAGGTCTGTCAGTAGGGAATTAGTAGAAACCTGACACTGTTTCCCCTCCTTAACCCTCTCGAGGCAGGCGTTGCCGATTTGCAACAGTTAAAAACTAACAACCTGATTACCCCACATACATATTTTATGAGTTTTTTTTACTCAGAAGTACCACTGCAGGACTTGGTTGTGCATTAGCAACAAAAAGTTCAATTTGAGCCTGAGAGGGTTAAAAGTCTCATCAGGTAACACACAGCTTTCTGGTCTGATGTCCAGAGAGTATAAATGTCACAGCAACTGTTTTTGACCTTTAATTAATGCTTGCTGTTTTAATTATTAATGACTGAATTTCACTCTTACTAGTGTGGTGCCACACATTTACCCGTTGCTTAGCAAGCGAAAGGTTACTGGTTTAGTTCCAGCTGGTGACACGCATGTCCTTTGGGATTGAGTCTTAAAAGGACATTTGGTGTAACAATCAAACACGTTACCTGCTGTGGTGGTGACAAGGGAGCAGCTGAAAGTAGCGTTAATTTTGAATTGTACTGTTATTGTTGTTTTTTATGTGGAACGGAAAATAAAGTGAATGTGTTGAGATTTTTAAATTCGACCCAAAGATGACATTAATCCATCACTATGTGATACCTGTCTATGCTTTCATTTCCTCCTGCTTAGATTATTGTAAAGCTCTGTTTTCTTGTCCAACTAAAGCATTTATTAACTGACTCCAAACCAAAAAGCTGCTGTTAAGGCTTCTAACTCACGCTTATACCGAAGTCTTCACATATCTCCCCGTTTTTAAAGCTTCTCCTTGGCTTCCCTGGTTCCTTTTATGGCCTTACAGGCTAAGGCCCCGCAGCTACATTATTGAACCGCTCCGCCCCTATTCTCCAGGCCCTCTTGTGATTCTGTATGCTGAAAGCTACGGGTGATTGCACTTTCAAACCTTAGCTGTACAATTATAGAACAGCTTAGCGATCTCTCTTCATACCCGTCACTCTGTGGTATCCTTGTAAATGTGGCTTGAAACCTTTCAGAGAGGCGCAGTGTTTGTGTTCTTGTGTTATTTTACTCGATTCATGTGTGACCACCATGTCTTTAACATGTGATGTTTTTTTAAAGCACTTTGTGGCTGTTCTAAGTCTAGAAAAGTGTTAGAAAATCAAACTTTACTCACTTACTACCTACAACAAATGACACAGGCTGCTGTCATTTTAGTGGTTTGACATCACATTTATTTCCAAAGAACAGTTTCATACACTCACACAAAAAAACACTCATAGAAATGTAAAAAAAAGCCATAGAAATAGAAAGAAGGGAGAATAAATAAAAGTGAAGTGAGCTATTTGTACAGAAATAGTAGGACACCCCCCCCCAATCACCTATGACCTGTGCCTTGCTGCAGTATTGCCAACCCAGCAAATCTGGAGCGCCTAAAATTTCAGTCCAAAGACATTGCTGAAATTCTTTGGGATCATGTGCCATTCGTCTCATTAATCTCATTAGTCTAAAAATACAGCCGTCATGTCTTTGTCTTCATTGAAACGATCAATAGTTGATAAAGTAAAATTATAATCTTTTCCCAAATGAATGAAGTTGTCCTCCGCTCTTCAAAATAAGAGAATATAATGAAAAACATGAAACATGTGATAAAGCTTTCATAGCACACAATAATAAAGTTGTGAGCAGATATAATTACCTTTTTATTTGTCAGCATATCTAAACGTTCTTTTCACATTTATTATCCGTCCACAAGCATAAAACAGTAGCTGAATTTCTTGATAAATGTTTATATAGTTAATTAAAATCATATATATGTGTCTAAGTACACAGTATCTGTCATAACCCATTTGTTCAATATTAAATACTGCTTATGAACACTATATGTGGGGCGTTAAAGTGTAATTTCATCACATTAACTGAGTTCCTTCACCAAGATATTCACCCTTGGCTTGTTATAATGGGATAATGAGATACTCTGGCCAGCATGCAGAGAGTATTAGTGAACTTTTCAAGGCATGAAACTGCTCGCAGAGGTTTGTTTTGAAGGTAAATTCTGATTATAGCGCATGACGTATTCCGTGATTGGCATTTGTATTGATCAAACTTCAAAGCAACATTTGTTCGACATGTGTTTACCAGATACATTCAGCATTTCTGGGACAGAGGAAATTAAAGTGCTATAAATATGAACATTGTTCTGCTTTCTGTTGTCCATTCTCGCTACCGAGCAAATTTAATTAAGTGTGGGATTTCATAAAACCCCAGACCCCAGTGCATGTTTCTGCTATCGTGAGGTATCATCATTTTCACAAGTTCTTAGATTAGCAGC